CAATTGCTAAATATAAAGCTCAACTGGTGGCCGAGGGATACCACCAACAGTATGGCTTACACTATACAGAAACATTCAGTCCTGTTGCTCAACCTCCAACTATTTGAACCCTCTTGACCATTTCAGTTACCCTTCAATGGCCGATATTACAGTTGGACGTGTCAAACGCCTTTCTTCACGGCAATCTTCAAGAAACTCTATACATGCACCTGTCTCAAGGATATGTTGGTGCAACCAACCTAATCATGTATGTTTATTACGGAAAGCCATTTATGGTTTTAAGCAGTTGCCTCATCAATGGTTCATTACTTTCAGCAATCATCTCCAAGCTTGGTTTTTACAAAGGTCAAGCGGATCCCTCTCGCCTAATTTACGCACATAGCTCACCCTTCATTTACCTACGCTTGTATGTAGACGACATTATGGTTACAGGTAATAACAGGGCTGCAATCCATCCCATGCTGCTCAGTCTCAAAACAGCCTTCTCAATGAAGATCCTTGGACGGTTTCCATTTTTCTGGGAATTCACAAACAAACTACTGCTGCTGGTCTTTTTCCTCACTCAAGGTCACTATGCTTCTGAAATTCTCAAGAAATCTGAAATGGAAGACTGTAAACCTGCACCCAATCCTATGGCGTCCACACCGTCGGTCAACGCAGATCTACAACAGCACTTTGCTAACCCCTTCCTCTATCGCAATATCATTGGTTCTCTCCATCACTTGACAATCACAAGACCGGACATAGCATTTACAGTCAATTCATTATCCCAACACCTTCAACAACCACTTTGTTTACATTTTCAACAACTCAAGCGCTTACTTCATTACATTAAAGGAAAACTCGAATATAGTCTTCCGATGCAGCCCAGCAGCTATTCAAACGCTAGCTGGGCAAGTGACCCCAACGATCGCCGATCATTACAGGTTACAGCTCATTCCTTGGAACCAATCTTATTTCCTGGCATGTAAAGAAACAACCCAACATGCTAAGTCCTCTATAGAAGCTGAGTATTGAGCACTCTCCACAGCTGCCACGGATGTTATATGGTTACAACAATTACTACAAGATCTAATGTTCTCGTTACCTCTCCAACCACCATTCATTGTCATAATACCTTAGCTCTCGCAATTGCTCGCAATCCAATTTTCCACTCTCGTACAAAACACATGTATCAATTACCATTTCTTTGGAGAGAAACTACAATCTTGGAAAGTTGATCTAACACACATACCTACCAATCTTCAGATGGCAGACATTTTCACCAAGTGCTCAACAACACCTCGATTCACACTTCTTAAAGACAAGCTGACACTTCAAACAATCAGCGTCAGCTTGCGGGGGGCTAATAACAACCTTACCACCACTAGTAACAGGGAAGTCTCCACTACCATTTAACATGCATTTCCTGCTTTACCACTTAACTAACTTCTTCTAGAATATAGTTTCAGCTTTCTATATTACTTGCAGTGTTTCCTTTACTGCAATGCATAACCTACAGGAATTATTTCCATTGAACCTACAGGAATTATTTCCATTGTATTCTCCGTTCTGTTGTAACTAATGAATATGGGAATTCCCTTCCTTCTCTAAGCTTAGCTGATGTTATACTGTTTGTTGGGTAATATGGAGACCCGGTCCACTGAAATTTACTTAGCTTCCTAATTAAAAATCCCACCTACCACTCACCTACTTTCCCACCACCACTCACCTACCACATCCCACATACCGCTCACCTATCTACCGCTCTCATGGTTTTTATAAATAGTCTCTTTTAGCTTAAAGGAGAAGTCAAGCCAAGCAAGATCAAGCTATGTCCTCTTGAGAGCTAAGAGAAAGAGAGGAAGAGAGAGAGAGGAAGAGAGAGAATTTTCTTGTAATTGATATCCTCTGCAACTCCGTGGACGTAGGCAAATTTGTCGAACCACGTAAATCTGTGTGTCTCTGGTATTTTTCAGCGTGCAAACTTACTCGTTCCATTTTTCGCTTTCACTCGTTCCATTTTTCGCTTTATTGTTGTCGTTTTTCACAATAACTCGTATCAGAGATTGGATTCGAATCTAAGGAAGAACGATGGGCGAAGACAAAGTGATGACATCCATGATCGAAAAGTTCAATAGCATAGATTTTACTTACTAGAGGCTGCAGATAGAGGACTACATCTATGGGAAGAAACTTTATCTTCCGTTACTGAGAAAACCACCCGAAAAAATGAACGAGACGGAATGAAATCTGTTGGATCGACAGGTTGTTGGATCGACAAGTTTTGGGGTTATATGATTAACCCTGTCAAGATCGGTTGCCCACAACGTCATCAAGGAGAGGACTACTGTAGATCTCATAGTGGCTTTATCAGGTATGTATGAAAAGTCATCGGCGAATAACAAGATACATCTGATGAAAAAATTATTCAACTTGAAGATGGCGGAAGATGTGTCTGTTGCTCAACATCTAAATGATTTAAACACTATCATAAATCAGTTGTCATCAGTTAAAATTGATTTTAATGATGAGATACGTGCATTAATATTGTTGGCTTCATTGTCAAATAGCTAGGAAGCAATGAGGATGACAGTTAATAGTTCTGAAGGTAAATCTAAGCTGAAATATAATGATATTCGTGATTTGATTTTAGCTGAAAAAGTGCGCAGGAAGAATTCTGGCGAGGCCTTGCGTTCAAGTTCGGCACTGAATTTTGATTACAGAGGGAGATCACATGACAGGAACTCAAACAGGGGAAGATCAAAATCAAAGTCTGGTCAGCAGGTAATCTGCTTGAATTGTGGCAAAGCTGAGCACATAAAAAGGAACTGCATGAATCCTAAGAAGAAGGAGAATGATGATGCTAGTGTTGTAACTGAAGAAATACAAGATGCACTATTTATGACAGTTCACAGTTTTGTTGATGACTGGATACTGGATTCAGGAGCTTCCTTCCATACATCCTCCCGTCGGGAGTTAATGTGAAATTATGTTGCAGGTAACTTTGGGAAGATATATCTGGCTGATGGAAAAGCTCTGGACGTGGTGGGGATGAAAGACGTTGATATTGTACTCCCTAATAAAAACAAATGGACTTTGCAAATGGTCAGACACATGCCAGAGTTGAAGAGAAACCTCATCTTTGTTGGGCAGCTCAATAATGGTGTCATTCGGTAGTTTTCTCAGATAGCATCTGGAAGGTTACCAAAGGAGCATTAGTACTGGCTCGGAGAAAGAAAACTGACACACTATATATGACTACAAGTTTACTCAGGCGATGACACATGAGTTAGAGATGCATTATAGGGAAGCAGAAGAAGATCAATTTTCTAAAAAGTGGCAGGGCGCCAAAGGCAGAAAAACTGGACCTTGTACAAACAAATGGTAGAGAACCACAGAGTTATGAAGAAATCTCGCAATATGAGAATTCAAACAAGTGGGAGCTGACCAAGAAGGAGGAGAAGGATTCCCTGCCAGGGAATCAGACTTGGGAGCTGGCAAAACTTCCACCAAAGAAGAAGACATTGCATAACAAGTGGGTGTACAGGGTGAAGACTGTGTTTAGTGGCAGTAAGAGATACAAGACTGAAATTGTTAAAAAGGGCTTTCAGCAAGGGCATGATATTACTCATGCAGTGGAAGTTATAAGCAGATACATGAGTAGCCCAAGAAAGAGCTTAGTGGTAGAATGTTACGTTGACGGTGATACGTTAACTGAGAGTGTTACTCGTGAGAAGCTGAATTTCAGCTGGTCTTCTGACATGAAGACAGGGGCTTTGAGTTGCAGAGATGGATGATATCATGTTTGAGGAAAAAGTCAGTACAACTACTAGATGATGCAGTCAGTAAGTGATGCAGTCAGTGTCCCAGTTTCCAAGTGGGAGAATTATTGGGTAATGTGGAGACCCGATCCACCGAAATTTAATTAGCTTCCTAATTAAGAATCCCACCTACCGCTCACTGACACCTAAAATATATAGTATTTTTAGACGTATTTTTATACCCATTTTTGAGATATTATGCTTTAATGGGGAATATATTGTTGTGTTTTTCTTGCAGATACAAGTAAAAATAGAAAAAAATGCTTAAAGGAGTGAAAAAGAAATAAATTTAGGAGCAAAAAGGTGAGAAATTGTGCAAAAGAGTTTTCGCGCCTAAGGGCCAGATCCGACCCTTAAGCACCGGTTAAACAGAGAAGGCCACGCCTAAGTGCCGGGACCCCGCGCTTAAGCGCTAGTGGCAGTTACTAAATGAATAAAATCGATTTTCACAAATTTTGAAGAGGTTTTTGAGGCACCCATTGTCTTAATAAGTGGTTGTAACCAGCATGGACGAAAATTATCATGAAAAGATGTGTCCCTTCGGCAAATACATCAAATCAAGACTCATTTTGAAGAGATCCCAAGGCACCTCTTAAAAAACAATAAAAAAAGAAGAGAGGACTTGGAAAAGAGTCCTTACAATATTGGCAAGTTTTAAAATTTCTTCCTAAGAAGTTAGTTCGGAGAGATTTTCAGGAACCACTTTTTATTTACTTCATCTTTTTTATTATTTTGTTTTGACTGATTGTAAAAGAGAAGAGATTCAAAGGAACTTCAAGAGTTTAGTGGAGGACTTGAGGTAAGTTTTTATATTTTTGTTTTAGACTACTTTTTGTTTTAATCAAGACTTGTTGTTGGTTTGACAATGATTTCTTATTTTAA